GGAGGGGGTGAAGGGAGGGCAAGGGAAGGGGAAAAAATAAGAACCAAGATACTCATGTAAAGGTACAAGATACCAATGATGAATGTAACTGTATTTTATACCTAAAATGTATCAATAAACTTAATGGGAAAAAAACCAAAGTATTCCTCTCCCTCATAGTTTTATAATTATACCTCTCATGGCATGGTTACAGCGTGAAGGCTTTGGTATGGTCTCTAGGAAAGAGAAGGAATTTGAAAGACAAGCCTTGGCTACATCCATTTATTACTTTTGAATCCCTAACACCAGAACATCTTATCCCTATTTCTACCAGCAACCTGCAGAATTTCATTTTGTTTTGTTCCATTTTATAGTGCTGGGGATCAAACCCAGGGCCTTAGCACATGCTAGGCAAGCACTCTACCTCTAAGCTCCATCCCTAGCCCCAGACTTGGAGAGTTTGAATCAAAGACCTTGAGCACTATTTAGAATGTGTCCCTAATCATTTATGAAGCAGTCAATAAATATTAGCTTTTATCTATAAAGTCTATTCCTGCAACCTATACTGTGTGTCCTTGAAGAACAGGGAATGTATCTTTGAAGTCTTTGTGTTCTCTTCCTCCACCAAGCACTAACACAGATAGAGTATATATTAGATCCTCAAAATGTTTTCATACTTATTTAGAGAACCTGATTTAGTTTGGGGTAAGGCTCACTAGTAGGAGGAGGCCTGATCATGCCTGAGAGATCCATGGGCACAAATCACAAGCAGAGGGTCAGCAAAAATGAGTGATCATATGTTAAAATAATTAGTTGGGAGGCTAGTAGGTGGAGATGACTCTAGAGCCTTGCATTCAGCAAACTAAAATGCTGAATTGTCATAGCCTAAGAAAATGAAACTTTAGATTAACCAACCAGAAACTACCAATTAACCTCTAATTAGAGACTTTACCAATCAGAAATCACAAGCTTTAAGGATTTTCCTTTTAACGAAGGTTTCCTTCTCTTGGTTCCCAAACACCTTATAAAAGTAAACAACACACACACATGCACACGCACACACACACACACAAGATCATTCAACAGAGCCCTAAACAATTTACAATTTGTCACTGCCTGAGTCATGAATCATTCAAATCAACTCTTTAAAATTTCAGAGTGCTTGCACTTTTATTTTAACCCTGGAATGAAGGAAACAAGCTGGCCATGGGAAAAGGAAACAGGGTCCAGGCTGACTGCAGCACCAGATCATCAAAGCTGAGCTCAGGTAGTGCCAGACTAAAGACAAGTGGGAGTGGAGTGGAGTAGGAGGATGTTAGGATGAGCTGACCCCATGCTAGCACCTGAGCCCAAAAATGATCACAAGAGCCCAGGCTTAAAAATGCCAGTCCTGCTTGAAATAAGTCCTCCAGGTGTCCCAGATACCTTCTAAACTCTGAGAGTCCCCACCCATCTTCCCATCTTAATTCTCAGCAGCTCCTCAGTCACAAGCCTTGGCACCCACCACATGAATGACTCACACACCCACATGTGCCAGGAGCTCTCCTCTATCACACCTTCCTGAGTTGTTGTTTCTGCTTAGCTTGCTCATCCCTGTGTTCTTTGCCTAGAAAACACTTTTTTCTTTCCTTTGAGGCCCGGATCAGATGCTCTTTCCTTTGTAAAGCAAAGGCAGCTCCACCTCTGTGCTACAATGGCACTCTTCTTCCTTGCTTCTGTAGCCTCCTTACTTTGTATTATGAACATCCAGCCAGAGCCAAGTGGTTTGTTCCACCAATTCATTTAAGATTTTGTAGTTACTTGATACTTTCTCTGTACCAGTGGCTGTTCTGGCCGATGCAAAATTAGGCAGAACATACCCTCAAAGAGCACAGAATCCCAACACACACACACACACACACACACACACACACACACACACATACAAAGACGAGATAGCCAGGTGATAGAGTAGTTGGGGGCGCACACAGGCTGGGGAGAGGCAGCTCATGGAAAGAACCCAAATACGTCAGTAGCCATGAATTGCATCACATCTCTCCTCTGCTTAAAGCTTTCCCATAGTTTCTGTTTGCAATGAACACACAGAAGCCCTTACTTTGTCTTCAAGGCACCACCCAACCCAAGCTTGATTATCCTACTTCCTTGTCCTCCAGGCTGCAACCGGTCTGGCCTTTTGCCGTTACCAGCTCTTTTCTGTATCAGGAACAGTGCATTTAGGGGCGCATTCCTGGCAACAGATCTCTCTCTAGATCACTCCTGGCCCAGCTCCTTCCTGTCCTTTAGCCTCAGTCAGGCCAGAGTCCAAAACATGGGCACTGACCACCCTATCTGATTTTCCATTGAACACTTCCTGCCTTCACTTTCTATCACATAAATTGCCCTTACCTGTTTCCTTGCTTGTTTATTTGCTTGTTCACTGTTTTTCCCACTCAGTGGCAAGCTCCAGGAAAGTCTGGGTTTTCCCCTTTCTATCCTGAGCTCATGGAGTACAATAAACATTTGTGGAGAGGATTGGGGTCAGATGTGTCAGGTGTGAGCTCAAGCTCCAAAATGTGTGGCCTGTGTGACCTTTGGCAAGTTATTTCACGTATCAGTTTCCTTATCTGCCAAGTGGAAGTGAGAACACTTGCTTTTCAGGGTCAATCTGAGGAGGATGACATAGTGTTCTTCAGGGTTCTGACCCATGGTCAGACCTGGAACATGTCAGGAGGATGCTAAGTAGTTGGTGACAGCAACCACTCCTCCTCTGTACCCTGGAGCAACAGACTGCCTGCTCCAACTTGAGCCTGCATAGATTATCCACAAAGTGGAAGAGAACTAGGGCTCTGAGAACAAACGTCAGTTCCAATTGCAAATTCTCAGCTGAGATCCAGCCTGGCATTCCCAGATGTGACAAGTCACCTCAACTCAGGGGCTCTACTGCAGCCTTGAATTCAAAACATGTAGGGGAAGCTGTGGGTGGCTTTTGAACAAGAGCTTGCCAGGTCAGGCTTGCCATGCCTCTTGCAGGAAACTGCACATGGGGCCAAATGAGGGCCTATGGCACTCTCCTGTGGCTGATGCAAGAATTACCATGAACTTGGAGGCTTAACACAAGGCAAGTTTATTATTTTACCAATCTGGAGGTTAGAAGTCTGTAATGGAAAGCTGTACTCCTGGGGAGGTTCTAGAGGAAGCTCTATTCATTTGCATTTTCCAGGTTCTAGAAACTACTTGCATTTGTTGGCTCATGGTCCCTTTCTCCATCCTCAAACTTAATAGCAAAGCATCTCCCAAACTTCTCTGTATCCTGCCTCTATCTTATGGACACTTGTGATTACATTGAGCCTCCCTGGATAACCCAGGACACTTAATTTATCACATTTTCCAAGTCCCTTTTGCAAAGTAAAGTAACATAGTCACAGATTCCAAGGATTAGGATGCTGACATCTTTGACGGACTATTCTGCCTACCACTGACCCTGAGAGAGAGGCGCTGGTTTGGGGGACCAGGTGGAAGCACAGTCTCTTATGTCCTTACTGACTCTGTTCGAAGTAGAACTGAGTGTGGGCTGAGGACTCACTCTGCTTGGAGAGCCGTACAGGCTGCTGGGGGTCATCTGGGCCACACAGGAACCAGCCAGGGCAGGCAGCAGCCTCGAGCCTGAAGGCAGAGCCCAAGCTGCTCTGGAAGAAGGTGAATCGGGTGGCCTGCTCGCCTCCCTTGTATAGATCCTCAATGTTCACATCCTGTGGGAAAAGGTGGTGGCTGCAGCATGAACCTGGTGAACAGGACAGCAGCCCTAGAGGACTCAACAGGGTAAGGCTTTACCCACAGATATGCCTTCTGCAGGTTCCAGAAGGCAAGGGGCTTGGTGCTGGATATAAAGGGAGATGATAGAAACCTGAGGGAGGGGGATACATAGCCCTGGTCAGGAACTCATGGATGGGTGAAAAATGCCCAAGCATCCAGGGGGTCAGGCTGGGTCTGTGGTAGTACTTCCCAGAATGGGGAGGGATTTCTCACCTCCAACTGCAGGGAAGGTCCCTCTCGGGTCTCCACACATGCCAGGCAGCGATTCCCTCCCTGGATTCCTAGGAAGATAGGGACTTTGGTGCGATCCAGACCTCTGTTAGGAAGTATGCAGATCTTCTCTGGAAGGAAAGAGAGAAGAGGCAAGGGATAAGGGGAACCTAGGTTGCAGGCTCTTGGCAAGTGAAGGGCGAGCAGGAAGGAAGAGGGCCTGGGCGTACCTGGCCTGGCCTGGCCCCTGCCTGCAGACTGCAGGGAGACTAGGACTCCACAGGGGTCAGGCCCCCTCACTAGGATAGGCTGCAACTAATGCTTAGCTCCTCTCTTTGTCATAGGACAACAGCTGGGGGAAAGAGTAGGGGAGTGAGTAGAATGTGGGGCAGGTCTAGGGAGAGGCCCCTAAAGCTCACCTGCATTGCAGTTGTCTACATCAGGATCTCCCACCAGGAGCCGGTTATCTCTTATGTACACAACCTTCTGGTCAGCATCTCTGATTCTAGAAGAGTGACAGGGCTGATAGCCTGCCTCCCTAGGTCACTGTTGAGCCCCCAACCATTCTAGCCCCATGCTGTAAGCCATCACACTGGTCTTTTAGGGGAGTCTTCTCTCTTTCATGGGTGAGGAGAGGAACACCACTCCCCCAAGAACAGGTAAAGACCAGGTCAGACTGAAGGCAAGGGAGGCCTCTTGGGTTTGTGTCTTTCAGATGCTCACAGGAGTGAAGGGATCAACCCCTTCCAATAGAGGGATACAGAAAGCTTTCCCAGCTGTCTGAGAAGTTCCCAACGTGAACTTTATCCCAGATTTTCTGGGCCTACCCCACTTTTCATAGATGTTTATTCTTTGTAATAAAGAAACTAATTGAGCATACAATAAAGTGTGGTTTATTTTTCAGACCTTTTAAAAACTTTGTAGGAGAGAATTCACAAATTAAAAAAAAAAAAAATCCCAAACATTCTATGTCATTGAAAGTATCCAACATGGCTGCCATTCCCTCTGGGCAGGCCAGGGGTGTGCTCTGAGTGAACTAAATACAGGACATTCCCAGAGAGCCAATCACTGGGAGTGGCTGTGCTTCTAATGACCAGCCTGGGAGAGGAAGTACGTGCTGGGAAGCTGGGGAGAAACCGTGGTGAGCACATAGACCATTAAAATCATGCAGATTATGAGGTCAGTTACCAGGATGGTTTCAAAGATAACCGTCAGTTGCTCTCAGGGCCTGAGGAGCTCTCAGTACCTTTGAGGTTGAACACTTGGACCAATGCCACCACCTCCAGGAAATTTTTCTCTCTCGGTAACAGCTAATTATAATACCTTTAGCTAATGACTACATGTTTCCAGCAGGTTCACTTGTATAATAAAAATAAAGGTATGAAAAGATTCTGGGCTTGCCAACTGGCAATTTCCCTCAACCCCTGACAGCCAGGATTTTACAACTCACCTGCTAGCACTATCCTTTTTGAAGACCAGTAAATTACAGCAAAGGATGCAAATGTCGTACGTGGCCAAATGCAAATAAGAGTTAAAAGCCTGGACTGGGAATAAGGGCCACTGGGCCCCCATCAAGATGCTGTCACCGAGATTGAGGATTGTCCCTGAGTTTTCAGAGAGAGGCCAGTGCAACAGTACAGAGGACGTGCGTGGAGTCTGACCTCTGGCTCTGCCTTTTGGTAGCTGTGCCACATGGAAGAAGTTATTTAACTTTTTTGAGCTTCTCTTTCCAGATCTGTAAAATCAAGTTAGTCATGCTCCTTGTACACATATCTTGGGATAGAGGCAGATGGTAGAATGACAGGCATTTGGAGACACTCAGGAAAGAGAGCTATTGTTATTGTGCTGATGGTGCAGCATAATTATGGGTCATTTCAGATTTCCACAATGAGAAGGAGCCTCACCCCTCTGACTCAGCTTTCTTTACTTCTTCCCATGTGATCTCTAGACCCCCTGACTGAGCAAGTAGGGTCATACCAGGATGACTTACATGTAATATCTTGCCATGGGGAGCGAGCACATTCCTGCAGTCAGGGGTATCTGGTCTTCACTAAGGGGAAGGAGAAAAAGGCTGTTAGAGAAGGCAAATAGATGGAGCAGGGGACAGATGCACTGGGGCTCAAAATTACCCAATTACAGTATGCAAAAGCCACTTACTTATAATCAAGCTGCCAGAGTCCACCACAGTCTCCGTCACTATCAAATTCCAGACAACTTTCCTTGTCACTCACTTGAGAGCAAGTGAAGCCAGAAGGAGTATGAGCTAGAACATGTGCCCTGCTTCCAGTTCTGGAAAACTGGAGAACAGGTTCCCCAAAATAGCTTAAACAGAACACCTTTCTGCCTGAGAGTGGGGTAGATTATGCTCCAGCCCCACAGTTTTGAGGGTAAACTCAGGGCAGTTCCAGTCCCATGCCCAGCCTGGGCCAAAGGTTGCCACACCCCCGTTCTCCTACCTAGCAAAGAGTGAGCTACCCAGATCCCAGAGCAGAGGGAGAACAGCCTTTCTAGGAGGAGCAGGTGGGGTCTTCCCTGAGAGTTAGGAAGCATCATTCTCTGAGATGGAATCACTTTGCAGAGACTGTTAAGGAGAGCCTATCCAAACTCCAGTTCTGTTCCAGGTAGAAAACAAGACAGGCTTGGGGTATGAAGACTTGTTTCTGAGGGTAAACAATCTAAAATGAGGAGAGTATTCCCATGTAAATACCAGGCCACAGAACTTCACTAGACTCTGCTCCTTCCTGGTGGATTATTTTAACCCAGAACTTTTCCTTGAAGAGACCCCCGCCCCCACTTCAGAAAAGCCAATCCAGAATACAATGTGGCGAGAAACCGAAAAGCAATCAATCAGAAAACAGAACAAAAAAGTAAATGTAAGGATGAGTACTGAATAAATCTGATTCTCACTAAGTGAGAAATAGAAAGAGAAAAATATATAAGAAAGCAGAAAATAAGAAACAGGAAGGGAGGAAGAGGGGGAGGGGGGAAGGACTGTGGCTCTTTGAAGGAGGTAGGTAAGGAGGAACAGATTGATGCTGACAGCAGTTCAGGTCATCTCAGCTCTGGGATCCATGGCCTGGGTGTTCAAAGAAACAGGACTTTAGCCAAGGTGGGTTTTAGTACAGGATCTGCCACTCTCATCTTGGACAAGTCATTTCCTACACCTGGGCCTTGAGGCAGCTCAAGAGTTGGTGAGAGTGAAAGGTAACAGAGAACCAAAAAAAGCAGATGGATGGATGTTGGTTTTATGACTCAAAGTCCTAACATACTCCTTATACTTTGTGACTACATATGTCGCTCTTATTCCAAAGAAAAATAATGGACTTCCCAACATTTAAAAATGTTCACTGCATTATGTTTCATAATACTGTGACATTGGAAACAACCTAAATGTCAAATAGGCAATTGATTTTAAAAGTATGTCAAATTCAGAAAATAAGAAGTATGTGTACATTAAGTTGATATTACAGAACATTTTATGACAAAATTTTCTTAAGAAAAATAGAGCTTGTGCAAAACAGGTACATTATCACCCCCTTTAAATCCACATACATTTAAAGACACATACATAGAAACAAATTACTCTGTTATAGCACCTACTTCTGCCTGACAGAATTATGAGTGATGTTTTAACATTCTTAACTCTTCTCATGATGAATATCAATTTCCTTTGCTACATAAAATTAGTTTTAATTTCTAAAAAATGGAAATGTTCCATTAGCATCATTGGCTCCCAAACTTGACTGCCCATCTGAATCCCCTAGGGAACTCTTTAAATATTATTTCTTGGGCTGAAGGTTCTGATTCCAGTGATGAGTCAGTCATGGGCACTGGTATGCTAATTAAGTTCTCATTCACAAATACAGATTGTGGTGCCCCAGGTCTGAGACCCTGGCCCAGGATGTTGCATTTCAAACACGCAACCAGGTGATGCTAATGCTGCTGGTACCTGGGCCACACTCTGAGTAACAACGGAATAGCTGATCCTCTAAACCATGTAGTCTATGGGCCTTGTGCAAGCCCATGTGATGTGTTCCTGCTAGGCCAAAATTTTGAGGCTCTCTTGGTTGTGGCAGCAGAAGTATAGGCTTCTGGTAGCTGTGCTGAGACCCAGGAGGGGCAGACAAGTGGAGAGCTCTGTGTGAAATGAAGCTGGGTGGGCAGGCTGATGGCTGCCAACCTTGGCCAGGTCAGCTCAAAGAACCAGCAGAAATTTAGTGGTAATGTAATCCAGCTTCATCCTCTAGGCTCTAGAAAATCCTATTCTGGCACAGCTAAACTTCCAGTGTCTTTCCTAATACTCCCATATCACACCCCTCTCCCTGGATTCTGGCTGGATTGTGATGGAATGAGTAGGAGTGAGAAGCTGGAATCCTGCTGCTGGCCATCTGCCAAGATCCTTCCCAATGTCACCACACACCCCTTCCCCAAAGCTTTCCTTCCACGTTGGTCCTGAATGACTTTCCAGTGGATTTTGGACTATTGCTCTCTTTATTTCCTCTAACTTCTCCCTGGATGTGGCCTCTGGTTGCCTCAGACCTCAATTCTCCTTTCCTGAATTAAATACCACCAACAAATAGCCCCAGGCTTTCTCCATCTTCTTTTGCACATCACACCTGTCCTATACTCTCCCCATTGTCCTACACATTATCTATGTGGGGGTCTGTTCTCTCCAAGACTTGGCATTAACTTGGATTTCACTTCTATGGAGCCAAATCCAAAGACTCTGATTCCTTGGCCATTTGGTCCCTGCCTCCCTGGAGCCCTTCCCCCTGATTGACTCACTTCACACCTCTTTTTCTCTCTGCCTCAGGCCCATTGTAGATTCTCCCTCCTTCTGGGGTTGTCTCTAAGACAGACAGCAACAAAGCAGAGAAAGCCCTACTTATTTGTATTTCATATCCCATAGACTTACAATTCATCAATTTCTATAGCAACAATTACCTTTTTGGTCTAATCCTTCCAAAACCCAGCCTGAGCATCCTACTTCATCCCCAGCAGTCTATAGGACATCCCCTCTAGACCCTACCATCACACTCAACCAAATATATCTAAGGTTAGTTTAATTATTTCCTATCCCTGTAAATCCACTTATCCTTCTCAACTTCATTCCTTTCATTCCTACAGTATTTTTTGTCATCAGTGAAGTTCAAAACCTGCGATACATTGAAAATACTTCCCATTTCTCCTGGTTTTATATCTGCTTTGTCACTTTGTGTTCTCAATCATCATTCCAACTGTGCTAGCTTTCTGTTTTTCTACGTTCGATTCAACCCAATCTATCTGAAGCACTTAGAACTCATTTTCTAAGTTCTTTGTCCACCACATCCCAGCCTCATTCTAGAGTTTATAGTGGCAGTCCATTTTGCCATCATCTGGTTCTGATTTACTCGTATGACAATATCTTACTTCTCTGTGAACACTAAATCACTTCTCCAGGCAATAAAACTCCTTTCCCATCTTCTCAATGGGTATGGTCAGCATTGTCTTTGGTTTCTTCGTCTAAAAATTCATCTCTCCACATCAGATCTTTCAGTATTCAGATCACTGGACATATATCAATATATACGAATTCAGTATTCTAGTTCTTCCCAATTAATTACTGGCTCAGTGCAAGAGCTCAGACATACAAAGTCAAGTCACTTAACTGCCAAACCTCAGGATTGACATCTATAAATTCAAAAGATTAGATTATGTGGTTGTTAAAGTTCTTTCTAGGTCAAACTGTCTATGATTGTATGACTCAGAGTTTAATGAATCCTTTCTTTACTATTGTCACACTATTTTGAGCTCCTATTAAATTTTATTGTACTCTTTATTGTTACACATTAAGATATTTACTTCCCTTATAAAAGTTGATAAGGTCTTGAAGTCCTGATGGATGGGTTATACCTCACTTGAAATTCTCTCCAGCCAGCCTGACACACATAGCTACTTATAAGAAGGACACAGAAATTCACACAGGACACATAAATGCCAAGGCTGTGTTCTAGACTTAGCTTTGCCACCAATTTTTCTTGCTGCCTTTTGTCCCTGGTCCTCCAATTTACACTCATTCGAATGCGATGCTGGGCAAAGTCATTGTTTTACAAAACTGTTTAAAGTTTCACAATAAGATTTTTACACAGAAACCTAATATATGTAAAATGGATAAAGGGACCAGCTCTTGCTGAACTGGGAGTGTGGAGGCACTGGAGCTCTGCTGGTATTCCTCTTCTCTAAAGCTGGCACTGGTCATCTTGAATGACTCCCAAGCTCCATCAAGCAATTCTTGAATTCCACTGGCCTAGATTTCCTCTGAGATTACTTTTTAAATCTGTGATTCTAAATACTTTAAAATCTTGATTTGACTTATCCTATACCTTTCCCCAAATCCCTCTATTTGCTCCTAGACTTATTGAGCATCCCGCCATGTTTTGTGGAGGGAATTCCTTGTTACCTAGATAACTTTGTCAGGAGGAGAGAGAGCATTTCTAAGATATTGGTAGAAAGGAGAAGGAAAGAGAGCCAGATAGAAAGAAAGGGAGAATATTGTCTGTCCACCACTGACCTGCAGATACTGGGTACCTGGAACCCCAATGCCTGGAGCCTCCAACTGATTTCTCAAGGGGATCCCCATTGTTTTTATACTGTCTGGTTTGGGTGGGTCAGACCTGCAGTGACCTCTATAACTGGCTACAGGATTAGGAAGAAGAAGAGTTCAGTGTTTCACAATGTCTTCAACATAGTATGGATAATAAGAAGGTGGGGAGATTAATGAGTGCTTGTTGAAGGAAGAGAGAGTCACCCATAAAGCTTCAACAGAGTCCAGACACTAAGCCCACTCTGTAGCTACTGTCATTGACTGTTATTAATGGTTTGGCAGCCAGAAAAACAATACTGGGATCAGACATCTCTGATGCCTCATAAGGCTCCATCTGAGGCTTTGAGAGATGTGAATGCAAGAAAGTATGTCTGCAGAAGTCAAAGATAGAATGACCCTGGCTAGGGCCAGGGTTCCAGAATGGCAGCAAGGGCTGATAGATTGTGAGGGTGGCTCTGTTTGGAAAGATGAAAGGAAAATCTGTTTTTCAATAGGCTTAATTAGTTGGTACAAGCTGGATGAGACAGAGCATTTAAGGAAACCCAGCTGCAGAAGATATTAATCTTAGGTTTACCTGGGACTGCATAGGTGTCATGTGTCTTGAACTTCTAGAGAATATGCAATGTGAGCAGGACAAGGTTAACGAACAAACAAATATCAGTTCTTTAACTCCACTCAGTTCACTGTCCAAACATCAACCCATCCATTTACCCATACTCCTACCCACCCAACAAATCATCCATCCACTCTTCCACCCCTCTAGCCATCTCTCCAATTATATGCCTGTCCACTCACCCATCCATCCATCCATCCATCATTCTGTCTGTCCATCCATCCACTCATCTACCTATCACAAGGGACAGAAAAGCTCAGGCATAATGTTCTCTGAAGGCAGTCTTATTTAATTCTCTCTCTCAGTTCTTTTGTAAAATTCCATTAAGTGTTTGATGAGGAAATGAGAGGGGTCATCCCGAGAACCAGATACCTACAGGATGAGAAATGAAAAAAGATAGACAAGAATAAGATCAGATATTTGTTTTCTAAGGCAAATGCTCATTCTTCACCCAATCTTTCACCCTTCTGTGGGAAGGTCCAAAGTGTATACCCTTAATATTTATACTGCTATTGACAAAAACACACACAGTACATAACCTCTATTGTTAAGTGGCTTTGCAATTCAGCAGGGAGGTTAAGTCATAAACATTTGAAAGATAATTTAAAAGACCAGACTCTCTAAGTTGTGGGTCAATAATATGTTGGAAACAATAGCAGCAGAGAAACTGGTTCAGTAAAAAATAATTAGAATTAAAATGACCTTAGACATGACATTGTCTCCCTCAAAATGGAAAACTCTGCACTGTCATTCCTGAGAAATAGGTTAATCAGGCTTTTCCTCAACATCTGTAAGACAGGGACAACATGATCTTTTTCTGTCTTTCTTTTTCTCACCCCCCTCACCCTCTTTTTGTGGTACTGGGGATTAAACCCAGGGTCTTTGCACTGAGTTACCTCCCCAATCCTTTTTATTTTCTATTTTGAGACAACAAGTTGTTCAAGCTGAGCTTAAACTTGCAACCCTCCTACTTCAATATCTATAACATGCAAGATTACAGGCACGCACCTTCACACTCAGCCCACACAACCTCATGAAGAGACACTAGCAGTGGTGTGGTCTCTGAATAATTTTTAGGATCATTCAGAAAAAAGTCTCCACATAATTTCTACCCCTTGCTCCTGTTTTGCCTTCTGAAATTAAACAGAACAAGCATATTCTTCTACTTGATAGACCACTGAGCCTGCAAGAGGCACCCTGTGTATTACTTCTTCAAGGAAAAGGCTTTCAGTGCCTTTACCTCTTCCCTTATGACCTGGTCTCAGGAACTTCTCTGCTCCTCATTGTCTACAACTGGCACAAAGCCCACATGATGTGAACATTGTGCTTCTATCACAATATGCCTAGGTCTGTGGTTTATACCAAAATTGCAGAAATCTAAATCTGCTAGGTCTTTTTCACTTGAGCTACCATGATGCCAGGGTCCCTCAGTCCATACATTCCCAAAGGAATATTCTTCCCTTTATCATCAATTTAAGTCAACTCATGTAGACTAAACCCCTTTACAATTTTGTCATCCCACAAATAATGCAAAAATCACTTCAGGCTGGGGAGATCTTCAAGAATGAGATAGAATTTGAGCTTCTTCTTTAAGGGCATAGGGGGTGAAGGTGAGTGAGAGAAGGTTCCAGGATGGAGAGCTTCCATATTCTGTACTCAGTAGTTTCCAATTATTTGCCAGCCATTATACCAGCTTCTCAGAAACAGATTGGTGCAGTTCTAAACTTAAGGTCATCTCTGGGGCCCATGGATTCTAAGCCAACTTACTACAAGTCAGGAGGTTGTGCACTAGGCATTGCCAGAGTAGATGATCAGGGATCTCAACTCAGCAAAGACTTCTCAGAAGATGTGACATCTTAGAAGAGTATCGAAAGATGAGCAATTTCTCTAGGCAGAGAGGACAGGTGAAGGAGCCCCATAAGACTGTGAACAGAGACTATGAAGAGGGTGGGCAGAAAAATACCCTGGCACCTAGGACCCATGTTCTCTGTAGCCTTGAGAGGCCTGTCGTGGGAAACTCAGCTGCATCTGGCCCAGAGCTAATGAGGCCTATGGACTAGACACCTTGCTCTGCAGACTCTGAACCTGCCAGGCTGGTCTGACAGGTAAGCTGCAGGTGGAATACTTGGAACTTAGAAATGAGTCCTTCTCTGGCTTCTGCTTTTGACTCCCAGCGTTCAGACAGGCACACTGGAGACAAACCATGGCATGTAGCAGTAGAGGTGCATAGGTAGTCGAGGATGATCTAAACCTTGTGGAAGGAGAATACCTAACAAATTTAGCATGATCAGCTTTTAAATAGAAATTTTGGTTAATAATGGTGCAGTACTCATTTTGAGAAGGAAAATATTGGAGAACATTGCAATCATAATAAGATATGTATGCTGGTTACTCTTTCCTTGGATAGTAGTTACCTATGGCTGCACAAGTTACTCCAGAACCTAGAGACCACACATGTGATTAGCCACACGGTTTCTGAGCGGAAAGAAGCTGGAGCAGCCTGGCCGGGTGGTGCTGCCTCAGTCTCTCACAGGCTGTCAACTGGCTCCAGTTGCCAAAATTCTGACGGAGCCAGAGCATCTGCTTCTGCAGTCATACATGCAGCTGTTGGTAGGAGACTTCAATTTTCACTACATGGGTCTCTATGAGGCTGCTCATAGCATGGAAACTGCCTTCCTTCAGAGTGAGTAAAGGAAGAAAAATAGAAATGGAGAGGCCACAGTGTTTTTTAATAACCTAACCTCAGGTGTGGCCCTCTTCCACTGGTCAGAGATACCTCTGGTACTATGTGGGAGGGAATTCATGTAGGTATGAATACCGGGAGGTGGGGATCATCACCAGCTGTATTGGTTTCCTGGGCCACCACAGGCAACTACCACACATTTATTGGCTTAAAACTACAATTTATTCTCTCACAATTCAGGAAACTAGAAGTCCAAAATCAAAGTGTCAGCGGGGCTGTGCTTCCTCTGAAGGCTCTATGAAGAATTCTTCCTTCTTTCTGGTGTTTGCCACAATCCTTGGCAGTGTAACTCCAACCCCTGCCTTTGTGCTCATGTAGGCTTCTTTCCTGTGTCTCCCCTGTGTCTCTATCTCCTCTTCCTAAGTCATATGGGACGTAGGTCCACCCTAATCCAGCATGTCTTGGTCCTAACTAATTGCATCTGCAAAAGCCCTATCTCCAAGTGAGTTCCTAGTCTGAGGTTCCAGGAAGGACAAAAATTTGGGAAGAACATTGTTCAGTGAGTACAGCAGCCCTCCTGGATGCTGGATCTCATGCCTGGAATCCTAGGGGATGCTGTGACCATTCCAGGGCAAAGCATGAGATTTTTTAAATTATATTTGCTTTTGTTTGATTTTTGCTTTTTAAAAAATAAATCCCATACCCACATGATGCCAGCTGCACAATCCATTTCATTCTCTTCATTGACTTTGCTAGGATCTCTTTCCTGGTCCCCACTTCTCCCACCTGGACCAGCCACATTCAATTCAGTTTGCATTTCACTCCAGGGAGGTGGAAACTGAAGACAGTTAGAAATTATGTCTGCTTTGCTTACCTCAAGATTAATTTCTTTTCTGATTATTGCACGGGTAATCCACCTTCATTATAGAAAATTAATAATGCAGATAAAAAGAACAAGAAGAAAACGTAATCTATAGTCCCACCACCAAACATTGTTACAATTTACAATCTTCCAGAGTATTTTTATGCATAAATACACCAATACGTATTTTTTAAAACTTAAAATGAAGTTTCAAGACATGTTACTTTGTAACACACTCTTCTCCCTTAATGTATCATAAACATCTTTCCATGTGAGTAGAGACTAGGCTCTGAGATTTTCCTTATGCCTTAGGTTTCAAAAGGGGATGGCAGGCAGGGGATTTAGCTCAGTGGTTTTGCTGCCTGCTGTGAAACCACAAGGATGCGAGTTTGATTTCTGGTACCAAATTTTAAAAAAAGGGATGGCATGCTTGCCCATCTTCTGACTTCTGAACTGGAACCATTTTCTCTGACACCACCACCCTCTCTCCTCAGGGCCAGAGGATGAGGCAGAGAGATGGAGGAGGCTGCAAATAATGGCAGGGTAAAAGGGGTCCTTAACTCCATGATCACCTTCCTCTCCTGCAAAGGGGAATGATTGGAACTCCAGCTGGAATCTAGGCATTGGGTTGGGTACCATTTAGCATGAAGGACTCCCACCCCTCCTTCCCTCTGTTAGTTTTAATGTTGCCCTCAGTTTACCCATGTGGTTTTTACCACATTTCCTGTCAGTAGTATCACCCAATGTGAAGGAATTTATAGACTGAGCCCTAAATCTCAGAAGAATTTTTCAAAACACAGGCCAGGAGAAGAGAGAGAGAGATGGTGTGTCCTGTAAGTCAGATGTAAGAGTCCTAAGAGCAGGAGTTGGGGGTTACCCACTGTGAGGCCCCCTCCTTCACCCCATTGGCCCAGCCTGGGCTGACTCTGCCCTGGAAGTCTTGGGGATCATGTGCCCTAATCGCATTGCTGGAAGTAGAAGTCCATGATGGGGGTGTCCCAGGGGGAATCCTTGGGGATCTGGGAGAGCCTGACAGGCTGGTCAGCTTCAGGCGCTGTACAGAGGAACCAGCCAGGGTGGGTGGCTGATTCGAAGCTGGAGGTGAGCCCCAGATCCTGGCGGTAGAAGGTGAAGCGCTTGGACTCTTGGGTGCCGAGGTAGAGCTCCATGATGTTCACTGGCTGCCAGTAGAAGAGTGGGTGAGGGCAGGTGCAGAGACAGCCAAACAGTTGGGCTGGGCAAGAGGAAGGCTCCGGGGAGGAAGCAGTACGTAGCAGTACCCTCAAGGGTATCCCCAGTGCGCCAAAGTGCACTATGCCCAGCCTGTTTGCTCTGCATCTGGGGACTTAGTCACTGTATGGTGAGGGGGATGCCCCAAAAGGACTCACCTCTAGTTTCAGAGTGGGTTCCTCCCCTGTCCCACATGACAGGCACTGGCTTCCTCCCTGAACTCCCAGGATGACTGGTGATAGCCTGGCATCCAGCCACCGATTGGGGACAACACTGATCTCTTCACCTGCAAGAAAGAAGCAAGGGGCCCTGGCTGCCCTTCTGTCCACTCTACTCCACACCCTGGGCTCCAGGTGCAAGACCAGTATGAGATGCCTGAGCCTACCTGGGCAGAAGGGAAGTCTCAGCGCTGTCACGGGTAAGGCTACTCCCCTGCCAGCAAACTCAGTGTGGACATCAAGGCACAGAAGCACATCCTGCCCCTCCCACCCCAACCCTCCATTCAGGGCCAAATCTTCAAATCTCCAAGTCTTCTCTAAACTCCAAGAGACAACGTCCTAACCACCTCCTTTACTGCCCTGGCTCCCAGGCCTCTCTTCTGAAATTTGTCTTGATGAGCTTCCCATGGGAATTGTTTGGAATCTTCCTACCTCTGTGAGATTCCTAAGAGCAGAAGCTGGTCTCATTCTTCTTTGTACATCCCTGATCACCTCCACACACCCAAACACAGAAATGTATGCACACTCGTTGCACACATACATACATATGCATACACACATATGCACATACAAACACACACATATACATATAGACATAATTCTGCACACGCTTGTGCATACGTGTACACCCATGCATGCATGTAATGTTCATGCACATACATAGACATATAACCATAACATAGGTACATATTTTGCACATAAAATATTTACACATGTACACATATGTAATGCTCTTATATACATACCAGCACACTCACATGCACACATGTGTAATGCTTTTATATACATACCAGCACACCCAATGTAGCAGAGGGATCTGCCTGGCTCCAGCCTCCCATAAGGATGCCCAGGTGGGCAGGTATGCACTGTTGTAGAAAGACCTGATGCCATATGTGGGTCCAGTGAATTAGCATGAGGTCACAGAGCATCACCTGGTGTCTGGGTCCCACCACCCTGGGTGGCTGAGGACCTTCAGAGAGCAGAGGGGCACAGGGTGGGGAGGAAGAAGCCCATCCTCCAAGGCAATATAATTCAGCACCCACTCTCAGGGAAATGGAATTTTTGACCTAGTCTATCTGTGAGGGAAGGACAAGCCACTTGTCCTGGGAATATTCTCTCTGCAGAGGTTTCAGTGTGCACAGGGCCCAGGTCCTTGCTTTACTGGAAGCCTGATGTACAGCACCCTGACTGACCTGGCATTCTGGGGTCTGCAGACCTGGGCTGATTTGCATGACTGCTCAAGGCCTCTAGTGGCCCCTCTTCACAGAGGGTAGAAACCTGGGGACCACTGCATCCTGTTTTGCCACCAACCTTTTATGACCTTCCCAGCATACAGCCCTCCAGCTAGAAGCTGATTATTATGTAGATAAAGCACCTTCAGGGCTGAGTCCTTCATTCTGAAACAGGAAAAGAGGAGATTTTGTTAAGGGAGAGGTGGAGTGCTCCAGTTTGCCCTTGTTCTGGAGTCCTCCAGGCTCAGGCATCCTGTCTCCCTCTTGTCCCAGTGTGCCAATAGAACAGCACAACCTTCCCCCAACCTGGCTTATGCCCTACCAGTGGGATGAGCCCACTATCTCCATACACTTCTGGGGTTTGCACATTCACCCTGTTCAGTCTTTTCTATCCCAACCAATTTCTCCATTTTTTATGCTAGAAGAAAAACTGGATTTTGAGTGGAAGCCCAGTACTCTGCCACCTTTGCTGCTGAGCCAGAACAGACAAGTCACACACCTTTTCAGGGTCTGAGTATCCTCATTGTTAAACTAAGCAATACCCAAGCCTGATTAAAATCTGATTCATCGATTATTATTGAAGACTTCAAGGAATATTTACTTCTTGGTCTATCCTGAGTGTGGAATTTCTTTAAATGTAAAAGCATTTTGCTTTTCAAAGTTATTTCTCACGTATGATCTCTGTTGGTTTTCTGACATCCTGTGAGGTGAAAGACCCACATGTAAGTAGGTTTCTCCAGGTGTTATATGTCTGCCTCAGCCTGATTAAACAATATGCATTACTTAGTGTGCTGTGCTGTGATGTGGACCTTCTACAAGGGGTAACATAGAGCAGCGTTTTCCACATGTACTTAATCAGAGAACTCCCTGTCCAAAGCATCTCATTGAATTGAGTCCCATAGAACATACTTTGAAAAATGCTACAATCTCACCCTTTGGTATCCAAAGAAGATTGGTTCCATAACCCCTAGGATACCAAAACCCACAGGTGATTAAGTCCCTCATAGAAACTACCATAGTATTTGCATAGAATCTACACACATCTTCCCTTATGCTTTAAATCATGCCAAGATTACTTGTAATATCTAATCCCATGTAAATGCTATGTAAATAGTTATTCCTCTGTATTGCTTAGGGGATGATGACAAGAAAAATGTCTGACCATGTTCAATACATTGTTTTAATATTCTCAATACACATTTGGTTGAATCTGAGGGTACAAACAGCTTACTATACTAGACTCAGTTCAGAAAGGATCATTCTTAGCTCTTGGTGTAATGCCTGGCTCAATACCTACTAAAGGAATGGATGGACAAACAGACTAATGTTTTTGTTTTATTCTCCCCCACCCCACCTCCTGCACAAAGGCAGCAGGGAGGAAGTGACACAGAGGCTAACGACAATTCATTGCCACAGGAGACAACAGCAGAGCTCTGAGGGGGCATCCTGACTTCTGTCTTCACTAAGGATAGACCAGGCTGCAGCGCTAGACTGGGTTGGTCATTGTCCCCTCTCATTATCAGGGAACCTTGTGAGGTGACCTGCCCTATCCTGCCCCAATCTAAAGAAGGTTAGAAGAGCTCTTAAGGGAGTTGGATGTTGATCCCCACTTCCTAGCTGTCTGCTCCACCTATGGGAGTCCCAGTGAGCACCTGTAACTCCTCCCTCCTCCTTCACAAGCTGGACACCAGGTCTACCTGAAACTCACTTTCCCCAGAGGACACCACCAAACCAGAGGCCCAGACAACTCACCGGAAGCACAGTGCCCCACTCAAGACCATCTTGAGCTCCACAGTGTATAGATGCCCCTATTTAGAAATAAAGATCCAGAAATTTAGAGAAGTAGAAAAGATGCTGGGCTTTCTGGGCCCTAGGTAGACAGCAGGGTCCTCAGCCTCCCTATATGTGAACAGCCTCCATCAGGTAGGAGACTGTGGGTCTGGGGTTCAGAAGAGAGCCCCAGACTTGCCAATGCCTCCCCAGATACCTCAAAATGCTCCTTCTCCTGGTAGAAGTCAGGGTGCCTGCCTGCTCCTCCAAGGATGCATTGGTCTTTTAAGGGCACTAAGGGAGGAGTCCTGAAACTCTCCATCCAGGGAGGAGCATGGTTACCCAGCTTGATTTTACACCTCCCTAAGCCTCCAGAAATGCCTACTGTTGCTCATTATCTCTCTCAGGGAAGAGGAAGGAGGCTCTAAAGACAATCCCCCACCAGCAATTCTGGACAACTTCCTTGGGGCTTTCCAGCTCTCAAGAGCACTCAGCTCCTGCTGCTCCAGGAAACTAGATTTTAGTTCAACTCTTTCCTTCTTTCCTCTCTCTCCCCTCCTTCCCTCTCTTCCTTCCTTCTGTCCCTCTTTCCTTTCTGCCTTTGCTCAGCCTGTAGGAGTTGGTGGAGGCAGAATCTCTGGTTAGGGGAAGTGTAGACTACAGAGTCATTGTAGATAAACCTGAAAATCCAGAAGAGTGAGAAAAGAAAGCATTTAAGTATCTTTTGTGAAAGGACTATCCAAAAACCAATGACAACACATTTTCCTTGCACACATATAACTATAGACAACTTTTCTGTTGTTAGCATCATAGAAACTACACTCTTTTGGCTGCTTTTTTATGTAGCAAAATAGCAGACTTTTTCCATACAAAATATGAATAATGACATTATTATGGCAGCTAAGTTAGATAGAAATTAATAGGAAGTCAGACAGGGACTGGCTCTCAAAACAGTCAGTGCAAAAGATGAGAACATACCAAAACTGTGGCTGAAAACAGGCCAGTTGAAGGCCAGTCCTCAAGATAAAGATACAATGACCAGACCTACATGCCTCCCTGAGGGATCATGGGATTATACTGTGATTGATATCACTTGGTCCAGTAAAGTCCAAACAGCCATCAGTCACCCAAGTGGGTGACCAGAGCATCTGGACCCATCCCCTCCCCAAAATGCCTTTCTTCTTTCCATACACCCTTACTACATGATTTGCTATTGGATCAAAATTAGCTAAGCAGCCATACTTGTAATCCTATAGGTTGATTGTTGTTTGATCCATGTTGTACTCACACTGTGACTTTGCTGTATAAATTATCCCTGACAAAGGGCCTCAGCAGCAACCCACATTCAGGACCCCTCCTATCTCTCTCAAGAGCTATCTCTCAATAAAACTTTCTGACCCTTAACCTCTGTTGTCCCTTGGCATTCATTCTTTGATTTGGGGGGACATGAATTTGGCATATCTGACATCTAGCAGGTTGGAAGTTATATTTCTTCTATATCAAGATGTTAAATTTGTATGGCTATGTAGTGTTTTATTAACATCATTTATTTATAACTATCATTATTATTGGTCCTCTATATTGTTTTTGGTTTTTGTTTTTGCTATTGAACTCTGTGTTGTTACAGCATATATAATTCTATAATTGCTCTTTCTTAGATACCTAAAATTGGTAAAATAAATTGTAAAAGAGTTAATGCACTTTTAACAGCTCCAAAAATTCTCTGTGATGAATCTGAACTAAAGGAAAAAAATAAAAACAAAGAAAAATAAAGGTAGGGATCAGTGCAAAAACAATTCATGTCTTGAGTACCCTTGATAATGATTGTTAAAGTATACATTTCAAAGAAATGATATTCAGACACTTGGGTCAAAAAGTCCTTAAAGGGATAAAGAATATAGGAAATGTTTTCTTCACAAAAAGAAAATGATTCACTATTCACATAATGTGAATAATGTAATAAGCATCTTTCTGAAAAACAAATTTAACGGAGAAGTTGCATTATGCAAAATTATCAAATAGCCTATAAACTGAGCAAATAGAAACAACACTGACATAGTCACAAAAAAATAAAAAAACACAAATTCCAAACAGTTACCTGTGAGAAAATGGTTTAAAGAAAACACATTCTTGATCTGAAATGTGATTATAGGAAAATTGAATATTATTTCCACTTCTTAAAAGCCTGAATGCCTCTGACCAGGCCACTGTCCCTGATGATCTGCCTCTGTGAATGTGCCTGTGTGCCTGCTGGACATTGCTATGGGATTAGTAAAGCCCTTTCTATGTTTTGTCCAACAGACAATAATGCTTGCACATGACTGCCCTGGTTCCAGAAGTCACCCCACTAGTTGAGCATGTAAGGGGCTATCTCTGCCAGCTTTGCTTATTATGAACTGTACCGAAATGAGGACCCATACAGGATGATGAATGGAGAGATGCATGAATGAGCTAAGAAGAAAGTGAGAAAAATAAACCTTTAAGAAAACCTCTCTACACTTGAATATAAGAGAAAACAATGGCAATGTGTCAAACAGGTCTCACCAACAATTAGCTGTTGTTCCAGAACAGATCTATTGGTTTGACCTACTAACTCCTACTGATTACGTCCCAATGTATCTTTATGATTTGAAAGTTTCCATCAAAATTTATGCTGAAATTCATTCCCCACTGTGAGGTGCTAAGAGATGATTAAATCACAAAAGCAGATGAATGGGCTGTTCCATTACATATCACTTGATGAATGACTTAATGGGTTATCTCAAGAGTGGGGCTGTTAAAAGAGACAGTTTGGCTCTGTCTCTTGTATGGACTTTTCTACTGTTTAATGCCCTGTATTGCCTCTGGACACTGCAGAGACCCCACCAGCAAGGAAGACCTCACCAGATGCAGCCACTGATCATGAACTTCCCTGCCTTCAGAACTGTGAGCTGAATAAACGTCTTCTCGTTATACCCAGTCTCAGGTATTCTGTTATAGCAACAGAAAACAGACTGAAAAACTCTGTGAAGTTAGTTATGAACTAAGAGAAGATTGAAAAATTACAAGTTATTCTTGTTGATAAGAAAGATAACTCTAAATGGTGTGGTTTTACTGCCTTGTAATTCATTAAGCAGATTTTGAAAATGTCTTTTAACCAACCTATTCCAGCATTTCTTTCCTATCTATTAATAAAATCCTCTGGGGCTGGGGATTTAGCTCAGTGGTTCCACTGCCTGTCTCACAAGTGCAAGGTCCCAAGTTCAATCCCCAGTACCAAATAAAATAAAATAAAATAAAATAAAATCCTCTGGTCCTTGAATCATCTTTCAGTAATCAACTTTATCATATTCCCTCACTTAATAATAGTAAATCTTTCACTACGGCTCACCACATGTTTGTATGAGGGGATAAATTTTGAACTTTGGAAAATTAAACTTTAATACTAAGGACAATGTTATTTCACTCCGAACTCACACACAATCTGTGGCAGATTTAAAATAAATGCTTTGATACTTCATCCTGTGAGAGGTGGAGCTTTAGTTTCCTGCCCTTGAGTGTGGACTACACCTAGTGACTGGTTTCTAATGAATATATTACATGGTAGAACACAACAGTGGATCACTTCTGAGACAGGGTTATAAAAAGCACTGCAGTTACATCTTTACTCTTTCCTGGAGCATTCTCCTGCGGGAAGTCAAATTCCTTGTGATAAAGACTCTCAAGTGGCCCTAGAGAGATGCCGAGGCAGTAAGGAGTAGAGGCCTCCAGGCAGCATCCTAAGAGTGAACAATCCCAGAATTCCAGCCCTGGATCCTTCACTCCTATTTCAGCCTTCAGCAGCCTTGCTGACATCTTACCTCAACCTTATGAAAACTCTGTGAAGCCAGTCTTCTGGTTCCTGATTTCCAGAACCTGTGTGAAATAATAGATGCTTCTTGCTTTAAGTAATAGTTTTTTTGGGGAGTGTTTTTCCATTTCTGGGACAAAATACCTGACATACACAACTTAAAAGAGAAAAAAAGTTGTTTTGGCTCTTGGTTTCAGAAGTTTCAATCCATGGTTTTCTGGCTCCCAGGGAGAAACAACATGGCAGAAGAGCATGGTGGAGCAAAGTTGCTTACTTCATGGAGTCTGGGATGCAGAGAGCAGGGGAACAGCACCAGAAAGGAAGGGGTGAAGGAACAGATACAGTCCCGAGGTGATATCTCCATGACTACCGAGACATACCCAAAACTGCACTTTACCAATCTCTCAGGCATCTCCCAAGCCAATCAAGTTGACAATCAAGATTAACCATCACAGGTGTTAAACATAATAGTAGCCAGTATGTCTTTCCATCACTATTGACAGTTTCAATTACCTCTGTTTTCTCATTTTTCCCACACTCTTTAGTGGGTTTTCTTTCTCAGCAAACATATCAGTTCTTTGTATGCTCAAAAAAATGTCACAGCCTGCGTGGGGACATTATCTTCTGTGGTGACTCCTATCACCTTTGTGGGAATGCCAGGGCCCCAGGAGTAGATAGAGTTAAAAATATAACAAATGTATGTCTATGTAAACATAGAGAGTTGACTACAGTATGACAGTAAATTCTTGTTTAGGAGGTATATTTTACAATAATTAAGAGATCCAGTACTCATTTAGTGCTCAGTATGCCCCTGGAATTATGTTTAGTGGTCTGTCTGATTTTTTTGTTTGTTTTATGTTCATATAGATACCCATGTAGTAACTACTATTATCTGTTTTATAGATGTGGAAATTAAGCATAAAATGATTCACTATATTGCCCAGTAAGTACTAGAGTCAGCATTAGAGTCAGATTTAAATTCAGGAATCCTAAGTTCAAAGCTACTGACTGCAATATAGAACAGCAGTCAGAGTGATCCTTTTACTCATTGAGTCAGAGTTCTCACTCTTTTGGTCCCCAGACCTTTGTGAGTAAAAGCCTCACTGTGAATCCTCACTGTGATTCCAAGATCTTCCACTAATTCTGGGCTCCTACCTTCCTCATTCAGGAGGGTAAGAGCCATGTGGACCTTGTGCTTTTCCTTAAACAAGCTAAGCATGGTACTGCAAAGCCTTTGCACCAGCTGTTCTACCTGCCTGGGAAGCTCTTCACCATTGTATCAGTATGGCTCACTCTCTTACCTCCTTTAAGTCTTTACTACAGTGCTACCTTCTCAGAGAAGCTCATGTTTACCATTCTATTCTTCCCCCTCATGCTTTCACATTTTCCTTGCCATGATTCATTTCTTTCCACGGTACTAACCACCTTTTAACATATTGTATAATTCATCCACATATTGTTCTTTTATTTATTGGATTCCCCCACACAATGCATTGGAAGATAAGCTCATACAAGGGAGGTTTTTCCTGTCTATTGTGCTAAGTGCTACATACCAAGTATGTAAGGTGGCCTTAGTATACAATAAATACATGTATCTTCCATAAATACATGTTTCATAAATACATGTTGCACCAACATTGAATGAATTGTATGCTGTTGCACATTTTAAAAGGCCAGGGAATTGTCTAATATTTTGTTCAAGATTATTATTTTCTCAGAGAGCTGTGGTACTTTTGGATCCTTGTTCTCTTGATGCTGCAGTTAAGACCATATGTTTGACTAATAACACATCTGAGAAACTGACTGTCCATAAAGTCAGTAAAGTCAGCCAAGACTGATCCACTACTTGCTTTATAGATAAAGTTTTATTGGAACACAGCCATGTTCATTTGTTGACAACTTTTCTAGGGCTGCTTTTGCACTACAATGGCAGAGATGAATGTTTGTGACAGAGACTGTATGATCTATAAACCCTAAAATGTTTACTACTACCTGGCCAAAAAGTTTGCTGAACTCTGGTTAAGACTTGTCTTGGTTCAGGTCATAAATATGTTGTTTACTGATAGGTATCTTTGATCAAGTTATTTAACCTTTCTATGTTTTGAGTTTCATTTGTAAAACAGAACTTTAAAAAAACTGACTACTGTCATTAGGATTAAATGAGTTGATATAATGTGAAGTGTTTACAATAGTGTCTGACACTATTCTTAAGTGATGCTTAAATGTCAGCTATATCACCATCATTATCTTAACCACCACCACCAGCATGATCACCACCACAGTCATCTTCATCACCACCACCACCACCATGATCACCTCCAAAATCATCACACCATCTTCATGGCCTGGGAAATTTGCTTCATCTTTGGGGCCTAGTGATTCATCCTACCTCATTTCTGTTTCTCTATAAAGAGGACAATGTCCTTGTCACTGGGGTATTGTGAAGACTGGATGAATCGGAGGCTGTGAAGAGCCAGACTGGTGCACAGCACAACTCCTGATCACCCGTCCCCCAGCTCTCGATTTTCTCCATCTCCCCTATTCTCCTCCCAGGTATGTAAAGTGGACACTGAGAACACAATGACTGTTGGGAGCAATGCTACAAAATTTTAGGGTAAAATCATTTGGTTAGCCTAGTTCTCCTGCATACAGCCCAGCTACGGAATTCTGAGTCATAATTCCATTTTGGCCTACGGTCACAACTGAGACCTCAATGATCTGGTGATGCTGTCTGTGATTCTCCAGGACAAGAAACATCCTGGGAACTGAAAACATCTTGGGAGGAACAAACATCTGCTCAGTTCCTCATTGTTCTTGGATCATTACATCTTGTTTACGCAGGATGAACTGAACTCTCTGCAAGTCATTTGTTACATTTGTTTCTCCTGATGTTCTGAGTACTGAATAAAAGGTGTGGTAAACTGGGGGCTTTCGTCTTTGCCACCCAGAGCAGCACTGATCAGACCCAAAGCTCAGCTTCTTCTCGGTATCATTTTTCTACCTTTCCTGTAATTTGCCTTGTGCTGCCGTGGCTCACAGGAGACTAGGACTTACTGCAGAGATTCTAGTAATGTCCCCTTTCCCTCTTCCCTACAAGTGACCTACATCTGAGTCTGGTTCTTAGACCAAATGCTTCCTCAAGTGTCCCAACATGACTTTCTCCACCCAGAGAGGGAAACAGCCCAGGTTTGGCACACTCAGCCTGTCTGAGTGACTGCAGCCTATGCTGTGCAGTCTTCAGTTTCCAATAAGAGGAGTTAACTTTCACTGCACATTCACTGTTTCAAAGAAGTACATCAGTCACCATCTCTCCATCTCACAGCACATCGGTCCTAGAAAGGAAGTGCTATTTTTATTTCCACTTAACTGATAAGATAAAAGGAAGGTTAAAGAGACTAAGTAACTCACCCACAGTCACAAAACTAATAAGAGATGGACTTGATATTGGTACTCTGGCAGGTCAATTCTATGCAAACTAATCCCATTCCCTGATGTGAAAAAATGAACTGTGTCAGATTTATAGATTTAAGCAATATAGGAATAGAGGGCAGAACTAGAGACCAAGGCATCTTCCTGGCAGAGGTCCATTTGTGTGAAGAACCAATGGGCAGCTTGAAAAGTATGGAGGCTTCAGAAAAGACAATAGAAACCAAGGACTGTGCCACCAAGTATGGCACCAAGTGGCACACGATGAGATGGGGTGACTTAGGGTGACTTGAAAGATCCATGAAGGTCTTGCCTGGCATAGGCAATGGCAAGATGCACAGAACACCCTCCAGAGTTATGAGTAGAAGTAGACCTCCAATTGCATCTTGATTCTCTTCCACTCAGACACTCTTGCTTGGTGCAGTGGCATCTTCCAGGGCCAAGGTTAGGGTGGGGTAGAGACTGATGGGTTGTGGGGGTTAAGAAATGGCCAGTTATACAGGCTGGAATGGGGAGAGAATGTGGGCAGCCACAAGGCTCCATCAAGTGTATGTCACACCCACTGGCAGTTTCTCCTAACTGAGTCACCAAAGGCGGGGCCAGAACCACTGGCAACCTCCTTACCTGAGATCTAGGTAAGATCCTCCAGAGTAAGTCCAAGTAAATATCTCCAAAGTCTCCAGAGCCTGTGGAGTCACCTCTCATGGATTGGGTAGTTTAGCCATTTCAGGAGGAGCAGAACATAAAATTAGAAATTTCCAGAAATAAGCCAGAAGTAAAAGAGAAAAGCCAACAGGTCAGGAAAGTGTTGGTTTGGCTCCATTCCCCCTGGCCTGGCCTGGCCTCCCCTGCCAACTCAGAGGACCCAGTGAGCTAGTGTCTGGCCACATGGGAGGGGACACTCTTAGCCAGGAGGACAGGACAGGTCACCCTAAGATGCACAGCTTACAAGCATCCTCAGGATCCATCCATGCTCAGTCCTTCCATCTCAGTTTCTGTCTCTTTCCATAAACCATCAGTTCTCAGTCCCATTTTCCCTTGGCCCTGTCAAGGAGATGTGGCACTGAGAGGTAGAATCATCCCCTTTCAAGAGCTCCTCAAAAACAGGAACTCACCTTTTCTCCCTTCTCTTTTCCTCTTCTCCCATGTTTCTTGTAACTCACTTATTATATAGATGTCTGCATATTTGTCTCTTTTGATACTTTTTTGATACTGGGGATTGAACTCAGGACCTCAAACATGCTAGGTAAGACAGTCTAGGGCGATCTTCATGGGTTTTCTCCATTGATTTTAGAGGATGAAAGAAGAGAGATCCAATATGGCTGACTAGATGCTCAGATTCACTGAGAAGGTATTCTGCAATGGGGGAGGAGCTTCAACACTAAAACATAAAATTAATAGGAAAGACACTATATGTAGATGAAACAAAACAACTGAATAACTGAAAAGGGGAAACAGCACTTCCATAGCTGGTCTGTGCACCCCAGCCTCAGCCCCACCCCAAGCTCTATCCCCAACCTCACTCCTCTGGGGAGCAGCCATTTTGAGAGTGTTGCAAATAGCCTGAGGATCTGAGCTAGCACACAAAGGCCAGACTACTGTGACAAAATTTGCGTACTGTGACAAAACTTCCCTCCCTCCATCAGTCCACCTCTAAATACTGGGGAAAGCTGCATTCCTGTGAAGTCCTCCTATCTTACCACAGGCAGGAGGGCCCCACCTCTCCCCTACTCTGGCCAGAGGGAGATGAACAGGCAATTGGCGCCCTACCTGACTCCACTCACAGTCAGCCTGGGTGTCAGGCCTGCCTGCTGAATCACTGGTGCACACACCCAGTCCACTCAGCACCTTCCCTGAGCTCCCACTTGCACAATGAGTCAGAGGATCATGAGTACCTGTACTCAAGTGAAGTCTGCCCAGCACATCAGCTTTCAATAGGACTTCCAGAGTATGCAGCCACCCACAGTCTTCAAGTAGTTGCCTGGAATCCCCTTGAAACTAAGGCAAGAAGGGAATTGTGTGGACAATTTACATCTATGTTCTCTTGTTGGAGTGCTGGAGCCAGGTACTTGCCAGATTGTTGTTACTTTTTTACTTTGATTTAGTTGCTGTTTATTTTTGCTCTCTTCTTATCTTCCTCATCTTTTTCTTTAGCTCTATAACAGCACTATTTCTTACTGTTTACTTGTTTTTCCCACTTTTTTGTTTGCTTGTTTGTTTGTTTTTTTGGTACCTGGGATTGAACTTGGGACCTTGGACTTGAGAGGCAGGCTGCAGAACCACTGAGCTAAATCCCCAGCCCTCTCCCACTTTTTAAACACTTCCTTTCAAGTTTTCCTTGTCCCTGTATTTCACACTCACTCAGATATTCCCATCTTATTTCATATTAAACTTCTGTTCTATCTATTCTATTCCTTTTGTTCTTCCTTATTTTACCTAGCCCCTTGTCTTCCCTTGTCTCTTCTCCACTTTATAGGGTCACAAATAAATCAACAGGTTTTGACAACCTCACACCATTCCTTAATCCATAATCACACCTCCTTCCTCCTGTTTCCCACCCCCACTGCCACAAATGTTAAACCCTCAACATTAATCTTTCATTCCAATTATAAACAACCTCTAACAGAATCTGACCCCACATCTGTTTTTAACCTATTGTTATTTCCCCTATGTACCTCTCCTCCTGCAGAGTTGCACTCCTCTTACACCCATCCCTCCATCTCTTTTCCTTCTTTTCTCCTTCCACATCACAGAGTAATCACTAATAACAATACAGTATAGACTGCAAAGTTGATTAATAAAGGGGGAAAGTGTAAATGCAAGGTTTAACTCAGAAATGATATTTGATCAGATCTGTTGATGGTGGTGTAACCGATAGTAATTCTTTCCCCATAACACAATAATAGGGCCCAAACCATTTAAATTGAACAGCAGAAAGGGTGAACAATATCTATGGACAAATAAAGTCATGAACATTTCACTGGAAGGGCAAATGTAACTAAAAAGATCTTCATGTCAACTACAATCTCTCTTCACTGTATTTGACCTCAAACAAATGGCACGCACACACACACACACACACACACACACACACACACACAGAAAAATGGGACAACAAGGAAACAAAAGACCCCAAAGTCTCCCAGCTCTCCAAAGGCAAATCTAAGAGGTACTTATGGTCAGAAAGCAAACACCATTTAGCAAGCTTTATAAAATGATTAAAGAAGAGGTAAAGAAACTTGGCGAATTCAAAGAGGACACAATCAAAAAGTTCATGAAATTATCGTACAAAATGACCAGTGTGGATATGAAAGAAACAAAAAGGTTCAAACCATGAATGACAAATTTACCAAAGATGTAGTCTCTGTATAAAGGTATTGCACAGAAATACTAGATATAAAAAATTGCAGAAATTCATAAATTGTAGAAATGATCAATGTGAAGACAGAGTTTCTGAAATTGAGGGCACAATGGTAAAATAAAGGAATTACTCAGAGAAGCCTACAAATCATAAGAGAACAAGAAAATTTTATCAGCTACTGGGCAACACTAAGACCAAACTAATCCTACTTGGAGTTACAGAGAAACTAGAAGACAGCACACATGGAATAAAAAATTTGTTCACAGAAATCATAATAGAAAACTTCCCAAGTATAAGGAAATAGTTCAACATACAGGTAAGCAAGGCTTACAAAATGTCAACCAAGTATGATGATAAAAGAAGCTCCCCACAACACATTTTACTTAAAATTTCAGGTGTCCAATAACTACAATCAAAACTAGAATATTAAAAGCTGTCAGAGAAAGCCAAAAAAGCAGCCTCCCAAGAATTACAGCAGACTTCTCAACACAAACATTAAAAATCAGCAGAGCCTGGACTAAAGTATTTGAAGTCCTGAAAGCAAACAACTTCCAACCCAGATTAACCAATCCAGCAAAATATTCTTTCAAAATGTATGGAGAAATAGGGTTGGGGATTTAGCTCAGTGGCACCTCACCTGCCTCGCAAACACAAGGTCCTGAGTTCGATCCCCAGCACACACACACACAAAATAGATGGAGAAATAAGGACATTCCATGGTTAAGAACAACTCAAGAGATATATGAACACCAAACTGGTACTCCAGAAAATACTCAAGAATATCCTAGAGAGGTATCCTAGAGACGATGAAGCCAACAAAGGCAACATTCCAGATGGAATGAATAATACATCAAGCAAGGTGAATAGATTGTAAAAAAAAGAAAAATAAAAGTCATCAATAGAAAAAGAGTGCAATGATAGGAATAAATCAATACCTTTCAGTAATAACTGTCAATATTAACGAACTTTTGAAGACATTGGTGTAGGAAAAGATTTTATGAACAAAACCTCAGGTGCCCTTGAACTAGCACAAATAATCAACACATGAGATCTCTTCTTATTAAAAAGCTTCTGCACAGGAAGAGAAACCATCAACAGTGTGAAGAGACAACTCACAATGTGGGAAAAAGCTTTCACTTGCTGTTCCTCTAGATAGTAGACAAAGTTCTTAATAAAAGTTTTGTATAAATTAATTTTATTGGTACATTTTTGGTATACAATATAATGGCATTCATCATTGGAGATTTGTACCTTTACATAATCTCTCTTGATTCTTATTTTTCCCCCTTCCCCTGCCCTCCCTTCAACCCCTCCCCCCTCTATTTACAAAGACATTGTTTCCAATCTTTTCATTTTCTCATATTAATTCCATTCCCTTCTTTGCTTCCCCCACCCCTTTCACTTCCCCTTCACCTTTGAACCTTTTCTTCCTATTTCACATTATCTATTATATCTTTTGATCCTTATTTACACTTTCAGTTTCTCACACCAGAGAAACTATTTGGTATGTACACATGTGTGTCCTATGTATTTCACTTAATAGCATGGCCTCAAAGTGCATCCATTTAGCTAGAAATGTCTCCAATTTCTCATTCTTTGTGGCTGAGTAGTACTCCATTTTATTTTCAAAAATCCACATTTTTTAAATCCAGTCTCCAGATGATGGGCTATTGGGGTGTTTCCAAGTTTTAGCAATAACAAACAACATCTTGTATTTTTAAGCTCTGTTGTTAGGAGCACACATACTTAAGATTGGTTATGCTGTTTTTGTACAGTTAAACCTTTTATAATTACAGTATGCTCCTCTTCATGCCCAATAATCTTCTTTGTTTTTAATTTTCTTTTTCTGATATGATATAGCTCTAGTCTTCTTTTCTTTTGTTGAGCATTTTCATGGCACATGTTTTTCCATCCCTTTTCCATACCTTTAAACTATTTGTGTCTTTACATATTTTAAGAATATTTCTTATACACACTATATAATTAGATTTTTCATTTTTATTTGATCTGAAAAATTTCAGTATTTTAAATGGTACATATGTTTATAGCATTTACTTTTAATTATTGTTATAATTTGATTAGTATCTACCATCTTGCTGTTTTCTAATTGTTCATCTGTTCTTTGTTGCTTTTATATTCATCTGGCTTCTTTTTAGTTAACAGTTTTTATTATTCCATTTACTCTATTGACGTTGTATACATTTAAGTATCTTTTTTGGTTACCTTAGGGATTACAAGCCCTTAATTAATGAAACACTTCAAATAATTCTGTGCCACTTTAAGCATAATATAAGAACCTTATAACAGTATATTTCCAATTCCTCTTCCCACCCTTTATGCTAATGTGATTGTCACTAAAGCTGGGGATTAAAACATACCAAAGAGTTAGACAGAACAATTTCTGTTCATACCAGAAGGGCTGAAAAACCTTGTAATTCATAAGGCATTGAGTGCAGTGTTCAGAAGGAAAAAGCACCTAGAATAAATGCTTTTGTGGCTCCACCTATCAAATCTTAAACCAAAAAAAGATCCAAGTAACTTAATTGCACCTCAGAATAAGGTTCAAGTATATATATTATATACAAATACTCAGCATCGCTGGATCAATGGCTGAATGTTGGACTGGGTAAGAAATACATAAAAGTACCCTACTGTATCCAATAATGACAAAAAGTTTTTAAAAACTGCAATGATGAAGTATGTCAAAGGAACCCAGGAGCTAAATTAAAACCTCCAATGACAAAAATCAGAACAATTTAGGAATCAATGAGAATCCAGTGTGGCTATACCAAGGGAGTCAGAAGGGCAGCAGTAGAAGGCAAACTGGAAAGAAAGCAGGGACCAGATCAAATGAGTTTGGGTGAGCTGTGTTAAGAGCTTCGGTTATGCTTTTAGGTATAAAATGAAACCACCAGAGGGTTTAAAGCAAAGAACTGATGTGACTGTATTTCTGTCTCTGATTCTGTTTGCTGGTGGGTGGTCATTACACTCTATGGGGGTAAGAACAGAAACAGGAAAACCAGTTGAACTGGTGCAATATTCTAAGGAAAAGAGTTAATGGTGTAATTGAGACAGTGAAGCCATAATTAGTAGTTGAGAGCTACATATAAGTAAATTTTGACCCAGTGAATAGGATTTTTAATGTTATGGGCTGATCAACAATATTGTGTTTCATCAGCAACAATTGCTTTTAATGCCAATGCCTGGTTTTTTTCTTGTTGCTGTTGTTGTCTAGTTTTGTTTTTGTTTGTGGGTGTTGTTTGTTTATTTTGGTCAGTGGTAGAATGTTTTATTTTAAGCTTGCTGTTCAAACTTTCAAATACAAGACGTGGCAAAGAACAACAGTTAACACAACCACATCTGCCACATTTCTTTGAATTGGCCTTTCTATATTATGTCATATGCGATGATCTGTTCATGAGATTTTAAAGGTAGCATTGTCAATTTTCTGCTTTGAAACAGTTCTGTTAATGTTCTGAAATTGCTTAAAACATCAACTTTTAGTATTCTGCTGCTCACATTAGTGACATTATTGAATATATTATTAATAAGTTTCAATTCCCAACTATAAGTTAAACTGAAGTTAAATTCTAATTTCAAACTAAAGAAAGAATACTTAGCTACTTTTCTCAAAAATATTTCCATTCTGAAATAATTTCATATGAGATACAATAGTTTTATTCCTCATGGAACTCATGCTGTAC